CTCGCCGCGAACTTTGGCGAAGGGAATGAGCACGAGTTCCCTTTGACGTGCGCAACTTATTCTGTATCTCCGCCGGTTTATGCCCCGAGGCCGCACGGGTTGTCCGGGATTCCCCGTGTTCGCGGTTCAAAACCAAATAGCGCAGTTTTGGCACGGCGCAGTTTCGCTCGCTGTGCCGCACCGACTTGGTGCACGCGGTGCGATGCAGTTGCTCGCCGGTGGAGTTGCGCAGAGGGTGCCTTATTTATTGCCCGAGTTTCTGTCGACAATCTGACGGGTCGAGGCGGGAGGGGGTGGGAGGGGGTGGGTAACAAGACCCCTTCTTCCGACTTTATCAGAGTTGCTGCGGCCCCCGTGGAGTTCCCCGGCGTATTTCGCGGTACGCTCTGCGGTCGGAAGAATGCACATTGCACCTGGGGATGGTGCATCCACGGAGACAGGATGACTCGTGTCGCGCGAAAATTGTAACGTTCCTGGCGACGCATACGTAATCGCTCAGCGTCTTACGTGTTATATACATGTTGCGCGATAGTCACGTTTAACGCTTTGCGGAGGGTAATCGCACGTGCACGCAGCACGTACACGCGGAGAATTTACGGGACTACGCGCGCGGTGTGTGTAATAACGTTTCTTTAAGAGTGATAGATTTTCGATTCGTTGTAGGAACAAAGGTAATTGGCGCGCTCAGTTTTAAGAAGATCCAAATTTACGGCCCGCTAATCTATATAGGTATACCGCGGTAGATTTACCGTTATACACGCCGGGATGGAAAACTTGCCCTGACGGCGAGGATGGGCCGATCGCGCGCCGTTTAATCCCGTCGAAATTAAATCGCTTGATTTATTCGAGTATTTTCTCTCGCGCTGCGGCCGGTATAGCGGTAGACATACTTTACACAACTATGCTGCGCATAGTTCATAAACATCATGCAGCTTTTGTCTTTACCGAATTCCGTCGTGCACGTTGGATTAATTGCAGTTAATTAATTTCTGTAATGTGTGCTCCCTAAATTGCACAAGTTTGATTTGTGTTAACCGAAATCTCGAAAAAAGAAACTGCAGTAATGCGAAGGCTGATTCATGTAACGGCAAAATTTAGAAAATTATCATCTGAATCTTTAATTTAATTGTATCTTTTTTAGTTCTTGAATTTATGTGAAAAACGATTTCGCACAAAAATTCTTTCTTCTATTCCGAACGTCCTTATTTTTAAGCTTGAAAATGCTATTATTGCTTTGAAAATAACTTTGTTTCTCTCTAATCACACAAATTCTCAATTTATATTTATTATTTTATTATTACCTTTACAAGATAAAAATTCATCTTGATATATATATATATAATTAATATTATTAGCTGCAGCTCACTAATGTTTTATTGTAACACAACAAATTAAAATGAATACATTTAATTAAAACAAACGATCAATTAATATAATATAGTTAATGTATCCGGTCAGTTTCCAGAGCCCCGAAATAATGAACCGTGTTATTTTACTAACTACAGAAAGGCCAGGAACGGCTAAGCCGGGGTCATATCGAAAATGCAATTTGCCGCGACTAGACGTCAATTAGCTTTTCTCGCAGGAAATCTCGTTAACAATCCTCTGCGCCGCATGGTCCAATATGATTAATGCGGTCGACTCGTTAAGCAGGCTTGGTGGCCATATTCGTGCCAGTCTATACTCATTAGTCTAAGTCTTTTTACCCCTCTATACCTTGCGCAGAAACAAATGTGACTTAGACAAAGTTTCACAATCAATGTTTATTTACAGCAAAATGGATACTCAATCGAATTCGCAATAATTGAGAAAAATATTAAAAAGGAGGGTCACTTTAATTTTCACGTAAATTTTCTATTCTCGACATTTTATACCTACCATTATGTGTAATTAAGTTTGAAATTTAATTTCTATATTAAAAGCGTACGTGCTCGGTATTACAAACGTTGAAAAGAAAACCTGCACTAACTCAGATGGAATTGCGCGTTTTTTTAATACCTACAAAACTGCACAAAAGTATTCTATGTACCGCCTACGCGAAAAACGGCAATATCTGAATTCAAAGCTAATACGCGTATCCTCCTCGGTAATCTGTGATTAAGGAATAAGTTCAAGCTCTTCACTGCATATGCCGCCATTCACATATTCTATGCACGACGGAGTTAACCCATATCGCCTCCTTTCGTTTCGCGTCATCGCTAAGATTACTATTCCATATTCCGCGATGGCCATTTGCCAACTCTCGAACCCAACCTGGCCGCAATAATAGGGGCACGGCGACGCGATTGACCCCGTGACCCGACACGTGCATCCGCAGCATCGTCCCACTGACTAAATTCCTTCGGCGATCAGGCCGTCGATAAAAAATGTCGAAGAAAATTTGCCGAGCCCTGCAGGAGTATTAATAACTCGTTAGCCGCTGAGGGAAGTCCGCTATTAATTGGACTAATTTATATAGGCCGTCGTTTCCTCGAAGAAGAATAATCCAACGAACTTAGCTGTTAGCCGTTAGTTTAACCGCAAACGTGCGAGTGATTTCCCGGCGAATAGAAATTACGACTGCATCCTTGAGAGAGAGAGAGAGAGAGAGAGAGAGAGAGAGAGAGAGAGAGAGAGACTGGAAGTTCAAATATTTATATCCGCCGGCCAACAGGTACGTACCGCGAACTTTGCCGGCGGCAAAGTTAGCATCGCGAGCGAGAGATGAGGATCACGATCTTCGTGGTTGTCTTATCGGCCGGATTTGCGGGCGCTCATTGCGCAAAGATAAATTCATTCGACGCAAGCCCGACGCTGTTTTCGCGAAAATTAAGAATGTTCTATCTGACCCTTAATCCTTCAACGGAAATATTCGATGAACTTTGCGCAAACAATTGTGGATATTTTAATCGCCACGAAAGCGTTTTCTTCTACAGAATCGTCATTATATGTCTAGAAAATAACGCAAAATTCGTAACAATTTCAACAATTTATTTCAAATATAAATTTTGATGTAATAACTATAATGTAAGCGTATTCAAACATAGCAGTTTTCACATTACAAACCGGATAAATGGACAACTGTAAAGAGTTCTTAATGCTAAAAATAAATATTCTGTATACGAATAAATATTTCTATAATAAATTTCCAAATGTGAAAACGAATCGTAAAAATTATATTGTCCTGAATAATCAAATTTACGGTAAATCTCGGGCAGTCCATTCCGGGATTAGGTCACATATTGATTGAGGCAAAGTGATCCGCGGCGAATTCCTCCTATATAATTCTGCAGGCTCAAATCGAGTTGGGACCAACGTTAGAAGAAATACTTCAAGAATAAGATCAACGTCCCGCTTATTCTTAGTGCAAAGAGCATCCATAAAAGTCGGTTGCGGCCGGCTCCTGGGAGTGAAAAAAATCTCGTTTGCGCGACTTAAAACGCGACCGGGCGCACGGTGCAAAGTGAGTTGCAGTGCTGAAAGTGCGCTGTCAAGATAAATGAATCGTAAAAAAAGATGTTTACCGCAGCGGCGCGTACCGCGTTCGTTTATTATTCGTCGCCCCCGAAGAGCGGCGCGCATAAGGTTGCGAAATAAAGATAAATGTAAATTGAAAAAATGCGGAGCTCTTCTTCAAACTAAAGTACGTTATTTTTCTACCTTCCCTTTAATTTTCGTCGCTGCGTAATATCACGATGAATATTGCAAGCGATATTGCCAGCGAACACATCAAATATATCATCTATTATTTATTTCCAGAGACGGAATGGGAGATTTTTGCAACATCGCTGCTTGAATAAAAATTTCACGTAGAGTGTCACCGAAGGAGTTTAAATATTCAAAAGTATTTATCGCACTTTATATGTGAATAGCAAAAAAAAAGACATCATTAGTAAGTGTCAAATACCTTTAAAACGAGATGCATCCCAATTTATTAACTATTTAAATGGCTGAAATACTGCGGCAAATATCGCGTGAAATAGAAAATTAAAAAAAAATTATTTCTCCCCACCCTGTACTCGCATACCGAATCGTTCTCGGATTCATGTCAAGAAGTTATATTTCTGCAGCTAATATATCCACGCCAGAAAGTCTGTCTTCTGCATAATACAACGCGAAAATTCGTAGCGCGCAATAATAGGAATAATTTGAGAGTATTTGCATTTGTATAAGACGTCTTTAATGAATGTATATTTATAGTTTAGTTGCTATGCGGTTTTCCTGTAATATATGACGTAGCATTTTTAATTAGATAATGGACAGTAAGAGACCGCTCTTTCTTCTATTTCTTATTTTTCACATTTAACTACATTACACATTATAATTTAATTATAATATGTTTGCACTAATCTACTAATCTGTATAATTACAAATGTCATATAATTATGGAAAAATCTTTTATACGATTAATTTTTTTTAAATTATACGTAGCAAATATAATTTGAAATGAAATATTTCTCTATTTAATATTCAATGTAAATATTTTCTCAATGAGACACTCGTATATCATATATAGTTGCTAATTCAAATTACAATTTCACTGCTCATTAAAAATCTCATTACGAAAAAATCTTTATATTATTATTCGAACGGCTCTATATATTAATAATTTAGATAACCAAGCATTAAATAATTATTCATTTTGACGTCAATGGTTTAAATGACTGTTACAGAGTTTACGCAATATGGCGAATACGACGGATGCTTGCGAGACTCGCGATCCGTGTCAGCACGGTGGCATTTGCATTTCTACGGACAGCGGACCGATCTGCGAGTGTCGCACCGGCGATTACGAAGGCGCATACTGCGAGAAAGGTTGGTAAATTAACTTTTAATACTCTGAATGTCTAAACTAATTATAATAAAAACACAGCTTTACATTACTAATTATATTTTATGTTAGAGATTTAGATTATATTTCGCGGAAAAAACTTTATTGATGTTAAGTTTAAACTTTTTTAATTTTTTTAAATACAATACATTATATTAATACATGTTGCTTGTGTTCGTGCTCAACATTTAAAAATAATTAATTTAACAATATTGCGACACTAAGTGAATTAAACTATCTTTATTACTCGTTTGCAAGTTATACTTTTTATAATTGAAGGAGCATCTGTGCACACTCAAATACTAAAAAATTACTGAACACGGGGAAAAAGAAATAAATTTTTCTTACGCCATTCTTACGCAATAAGAATAAAATGATGTATAAAATCTGGTGAATCAAGGCAAAATCTAAGGATGCGAAGCAGAAATAAGTATAACACCTTTTCACAAACTTATTTTTGTGTACATACAATTTAATTAAACAAAGATGTAAATAATTCTGCAATGCATTCGTTTCAAGCTATTTAGTATGTTTATACAAATTTAACCAAACATACAAACAGACCTAATAATAAATAAATCGTGAAAGATTAAACCAGCTACTATTTACAGATTAGAAGACCTAGATAATATTTAAAACGCTTTGTAGTAAAATAAATTTTAAATGTTTTAATAATTATAATTTATAAATGACGAGAGTTGAATTATTTTTTGTTTGTGAACAATTTTAAACTGTCGGAATCGCACCACAATTTATTAAAGGTGCTCCACATTTTCCACCAAGGCTGCAATTTCATTTCACCTCTGGTATTTACCCATACAAATTGATTTTGTGTGGTTTTGATATTACCTTCACAGCAATCTGCGTTTCATTAATTTACAACCTATCCGCAGCATTCTTTCAATTTTAGTGTCCTTCGATTTTTATTGACCGATAATTTATTTTAACGTCGCAGATTGGCGTCCCATTAAATTTCAATATCAATCACTATAACTCAAAGTACGTGAACAAAAATGGAGGATTTCCTTCAAATATTCATCATCATTTCTTTACATTCCGTTATAGCAAACGATATCACGCGGTTGCTTTGGCTGTATGTTGCCTTTTTATCCTCTTTTCTCATATTCCGCTCGATCGATTGGTTGCCTTTAATGACAAAATGCCGCATGGACGTAGCGCTACACGGGCGTGCATTTCTCGTTGACTCTTATACGCGTACTCGCGAGAGAACGCGCGTCGCCTAATGAGGCGTAATTGTCGACAGCTGCAGAAGCGAGATGGGGGTGTGTTCCAGAATGATTTTTCCCCCTCGTAAGCCATTGGCAATTAGAGAAACCGTGGGGTCGTTTCCAAGACGTTTCACCGATAATTACAATCAGACTTCTTCCCCGTTAATGAGGTGCGCGCACAAGGAGTCGTTAGCGGAGGCGACTTGAAAATCGCAAATGCGAATGGCGAAATAAGTATAATGCGAAAGTTTACGTATTTGTTCTTGTCATTCCAAGTGGCTAAAAGAGATCGTTACGAAAGATGAGTTTGAAATCAATTCTACACCCAAAAAAAATGTTTTACTTATAAGCGGGAAATTCCATTTCTTCTAAGAAAAAAGTTTTACATGAAGCATGTTCCTCAGCTATAACGCGTATTTTTCTATAAAGAAATGGACCATACGCTATAATCAAGAATAAATTCTCATAGTAATTCCACATTCTTCTACATTTTAAAATATATATCTCAGTAGTAATTCAATATTCCTCTACATTTTAGAATATCTTTTTAAAACGTTTATTTAATATTAAGAGGAAAATCTTTTAACGTCAAGAGGGTACCGCTAAAGGATAGAATATTTTTTTTGGGTGTAAATAATTTATGGAAAATTTTTAAGCGTCCGCGTTATAGAGATGTATTGGAATTCTGACCGGAATCTGAATCGGAAGGATTTATTTCGGGATGAATTTTCGTGACGTTATTGCAATGAATTATATATATAATTCCGTGTTTTATATCGCAGAAATACGAATTTCGATTACAAATATTACAACTGGCTTCAAACTCTTCAATGCTTTTCTATCAACAAATATTATTTTTTTTATAGTGAAAAGAGAAATGTAATATTGTTATAATTTGCAACACGCGTCCCCGAGACGTGGATTTTTCCTTCTTACAAAATTCAGAAAGCCGTGCAGTCGACAGATTTAATAGTGAAAAGTGAGATTACATTTCCCGCGGATAAGCAACATACCGGATTTACTTTAATTGCGATTTACTCTCTGCGATAAAATTTTGCGTTTTCTCGAGCTTTCGTGTTGTTCGTTTTCAACAGCGTTTTCGAGCGTGCATTAGTGGTAATTTTACTACTAGCGGATTTTCCATTACTGCGCATGACAGATGTACGATATAGCGTTTTAAGATATATTTATGATGTACGTTACTGCAAGAATCGTTTAGCGATAAGCAGCCTCGTATAACTAAGGAGTAAGTATGCGAAATTATCATTCATGCTTTAATTGATCAATTAATTATACATTATAAAACTTTATCGCGTATTATTCTTTTTAATGACAGAGAAAAGCCTTAAAGTGCATCGAAAAAATCTCCGCTTTTAAACAATATTTAAATTATTCGATTTCCTTCGATTTTCATTACTTGATACAACAAGCAAATATATTAAATAAATTGGACCTGCAGTTCACGATATTAACAGTTGAGAGTTCACTATAGGAAAAAAGAGTCTCTTCAATGCCCCGAATAAACAATCTTCCTTTATCGAAAACTGCAGCGTGGAATGTTTATTCAAAGGTTTACTTCACTGATAATTGCAAATCTTTGCGAGCTCACGGCCGGGATCTTTTGTTGCTACTGATTGTGAGACATCCAGTCCAGAAGAAACTTCAAAGACGACTCTGCGCAAAAGGAACCAGGACAATTTCATTTTAATTCCTCTCTTAACAGCTTTTTGCAGGCGCGATTGTCCTCGTCGTGCCTGACAGGCGCAGTCGTTATACGCGATATAATGTAATTTTCCAGCCTTAATGACCATGTTGAAACGAATGGAGGAAAAAGGAGGAAGGAAATGGGTGGGCGGAGAAAGGATGAGAGTGTTACAGACGCGCAAGATAAAATAGCGAAGCTAGAAACGAGGGCTGGAGCACAAAGAAAAAGGAAGTTCAGAATTTATTAGGGTCAAAATAATCAGTCTACCAGGGATTTCTTAACAAATATCGCGGAAAATTGAATGCTATCAGCGCCGAGAAAAAAGAAAGGATACATAAGATGTGTACAGAAGAAGGGAGGAAAAAAGAGCTTTGATATCGCAAGCCTATAATTGATATTGCGTAAAGTACGTTGACTAATTAGTATTCGAAATTATGTTGAAATTTTCCTCAGAAAATAAAAAAAAACGTAATTCAGACAGTCGGGAAGCTAATCGTCGAGTGAATATAAAACGAAGATACGATAAACCATTCGTTTCGCATTATCTATTTCAACCTGGATAATCGAGAGTTTATGCTCGCGGCGAATCGTTATCTGGACAAAGTGATTCAACTTTGCGCGGCATTCCGCACGGAGAAACTTCGTTGTTTAACACTCGATATTCGCGTTTGTGGAACTGCCCCTCCCCCCCGCCCCGCGCGCACTACAGGAAGGCAATTTTATAACAATCGCGCGAAAGTTTTTCAGCGTTTAAATTTACCGAAGCCGGAGAGCTCCGTAAATTTTTCCTTCTCTTTCTTTTCTTAGAAAATGCATAAGGATCTTTACGCCGAGTGATCGATGCATGGTTCGGTTCTTTACTTTCGTTCTTTCTGTCTTTCTGTTTTTTATATAGAGACGTGGATCACGATGCTGCCCACGGCGGGTGCTGGCGATTACTGGGCTTGGGATTACAGTGAGTCTCGCTAATTACAAAACCAAAGCATCCACAATAACGTGGGTGCGGCGGTGGTAGAGAGATATCAGTACGAGTAAATCAGTAGATCGTAGCTCTAGTTAAGGTGTTTCTATACATAGACCCCCTTGGGCACAACCGAATAGATTCTTTATTAACGCGAAATTGAAATGCAAATTTATTCGATAGCACAATGTATAATTTGCAGATGAAATATAATCGATAATGCCAATAATAATACCACTAACGCGATCTTAAATATTTAATTACATGTTTTTATTATGCGTGATTATGTGTTTTCATTCGAAATATGAATGAAATTGTTTCAATAATTTAAGAGTTAAATTATTTTTATTGTCATTTTATGTGTTTTATAACCGCAACAATCACTTAGTTGTTATTTATCCATATTTAGAATTGATTTAGGTAAGATGCGCATTTTATTGCTCCACTCTGAATTTGTATCAAAATTATTTAAGTAAAATTAGACCCGTAGTTTCCATTAGTACATTACAGAAACAAAAGATCCTTTAATATGTAAATAAGATTTCTTTTGTAATGAATGTAATGATCAAACTTCATAATTTTTATCCGCTACCCTACCTTCGAATTTACGTATTTAAGTAACTGTGTATCTTTATCTGGAATGGAATAACAATAAAACTGCCGGAAGGAATAAAAATCAATAACAAACATTCGATATGAGCCAATTAAAATGAATAAACATCGTCTGTATCTAACATTAACAATGAAAATGGAAATAAAAAAAATGAAAGAAAAATATAGCCGAGACGATAGGACGTTACTCAAACAAATACTTAGCCACGGAAATAAACAAAGTGCAAAAATATTCGCAATTATTCATTCGCTAATCGTTGAGAACGTTTTATTTTTTAATCATTTAGTAATTTATTATTAAATATATATCTACTCGTTAATCGTTGATTTCTTCCTGTTAATCATTAATCATTGCACACAAGTCTATTTCTCAATGGTAAATCTTATTATGATCAATAACACAAGTAATTATTTATCATTAATACATTACTAATATACATATAAAGTTAACGCTATTACTTTTATTTCAAGATAATA